ATAACTGCCGATCTCAGGGATTCGAGACGAACCTGTATGTACGAAGCCTATAGAAACACTCGGTAGCCCCTCTTTCAGACTTTGGAATAAAAGATGCAACATTCAAAGCAGTGGTGGTCTACTACTGTAGCTGAACCAAGCGAAACATGACCAAAATGGCTGCTGATGGTATTCGGGCTCACTTCTGGTGCTTTATGGCGTGCGGTATGATCGCATTGTCTCCATTTCAGTACGGATTAGACTTTGGAATCATTGGCGGTCTACAGGCGATGCCTGGCTTTCTCGAGGTTGGCTTCTTTCTCCCAATTTCTCATGTTCCGACGTCCTCCTTCAATACATCCTTTGTCTTGAATAAATGCTATTGGAACTGACCTGTTGCTCCAAGGTCTATGGCTATGAAGACCGAAACACGGCCATCGGGTGGAATATCTCCACCACCCGACAACAGCTCATATCTTCTTTAATGACACTTGGAGCATTTCTTAGCTCGGTGCTTGCTGGAGTAATCGCAACCAAATTGGGAAGGAAGATGTGCCTGTGGCTCTCTTCCCTTCTATGCATTGTAGCCAATATTCTCATGATGACCACATCACACATCGGTCCACTCTATTTCGGTCGCTTGCTCATCGGGCTAGGCAATGGAGGTTTCATGACCTTCTCTCAACTTTACTTACAAGAGAGCAGTCCGGCAAAATACCGCGGGCTATTCCTTACTATCTTCCAGTTCTGTGTAACGATTGTGGGTATTCAACTGCTGGAACTCATGCTATTTAGCAGGCCTGGAATGGCTAACCGTACCGCAGGGAACTCTCCTCGGCACTATCATTGACTGGGCAACCGCCCAGCGCCCTGATAGATCAGCTTACTTGATACCTCTGGCTACAATTTACGTGATACCGGTTCTCTTGGCCATCGGTCTTTTCCTCATACCCGAGTCACCGCGCTGGCTGATTCTAGAGGGCCGTGTAGATGAGGGTCGCAAAGCTCTTGGGTGGCTCAGACCTACTGATGCAAACATTGACGATGAAGTTGAAGAAATTCAAACATCCATCCAAGAACATATCGAGTTAACAAAGGCCGTCACCTTTTGGGACATGTTCAAGGATCGAATAGACCGAAGACGCTCCATGATCTCCATCGGCGCCGTATCTCTGCAGGCCGCATCAGGATCCATGTTCATCATTGGTAAGTTCCGAATCCATTTCACGTCAGTTTCATGAACTCACTCAAGCTATACAGCGTATAAAGCATACTTCTTCTCTGTTGCGCAAGTCGAACACCCCTTCGCTATGACAAATGTTCTGTCTACGGCTGGTCTCTTGGCAATTCTTGCCAATGCTTTCATCGTAGTTCGCTATGGCCGTCGCCGGCTTATGCTCATCAACGGTCTTGTCATTTGTGGCTGCTTGCAACTCATCATGGCTGTAACATACGACAAGCAACCACATACGATTAATGCGGGGAAGGTTCTTGTCGCAATGTCTTGCATTTTCATGGTTGCTTTCAACGTAGGTTTTGGATAATCAGAGTGGATACTTACCTTTCGGCTTCGATTGACTGACTGCCCTGCAGGGAATGGTGGCACCATACTCCTGGATGGTTGCCGGAGAAGCCCCGTCACAAAGACTTCGCAGCTACACATTTGGGGTTGCTTCGGCATGTGGTTACCTGCTGGCCTGGCTTGTAACCTTTACTACGCCTTACTTCATCAACCCTAGTGCCCTGAATTGGGGCCCTAGGTACGGCTACATTTGGTTTCCATCTTGCATCATTGCAGCTTTGTGGGCCTTCTTCTTCCTTCCCGAGTTCAAGGGACGGACTCTCGAAGAAATCAATGCCATGGTAAGAACTAAGTTCTCATCCGGGACACTTGGCACGCTGCAATCATCTCACTAACAGTTTCAGTTTATCGAACAACTGCCAGCAAGAAAGTTCCGCCGCTACGAAGTTCCAGGAACCAGTCAGCCCAAGACTGTTGACACTTTGAAAGATGATATTGATGTCGCTCAAATCGAAATGGTCAATCGTTCTTGAAGTTTTCACAGCCACTAGTGCTTTCAGCTAGTTCATCAAACTCTAGATCTAGAACCTATCATGTGCGAATCCCCTTAGGATACAGTATACGTGAGATAACCATGTTCTGTGGTAGACGTAGCTGCTTAGGTGTTTTGGCATGATATGCCCTGAGAGACAACTGTTGTGATGCCAAGATTCTCATAATTACATGCAGGAAAGACTAAGTAAGCCAATTAGAATCTCTAACAGTGGTGAGTTAGCATTAATCTAGATTCAAGACAGAATGCGAATGACAGCTTTCATGGCTCTTTTGACAACTGACTTCCACCACCCTTTTCGTCCTGCAGCGTGGCTCTGGACACTCGAAATCTCCCCATTACCACAAGCATAATCCATTTCCAAGTCATGCTTCATTTGGCTTCCTTCTTCAAGTTCCTCCAGGTGCAGTTTCCTCCTGACATTGTAAGCTCGTATGTACCCAGAGAGACTTGTGCGGATGCAATCAATGTCCGTGCTTGACAGCCCTTCATCTTCCACACACTCGTCAAGCATCCGTCGGTGTATGAGAACAAGACTCCGGGCTTCAGTCAGAATGAGGCATGCCGAACATTTCGGGAATAAGTACTGCCGGTCAAGATCGGATGTTGCTGTTGTTGGACAGAACACATGATCTGACCCGCGAGAGAAGCAGGTGCCATTGGCGTGCTCATATTTAGCCACGTAGAGGATCCTGGCGCAGGATTTCTCGCCAGTGATTAAGCAGGGCTCGTCTATGTGACAAGCTCGGTGTTTGGGGTCGCAAGCATCCCACAGCCCGCTTCTTTCATAGGCTGCGAACAAGCTTGCCTTCGGACAGGATCGCTCCTCAGCCAGGGCGCACAATCTTCCCACAACACAGCTATCATGAAGACTTATGTCACGGAGCTCGATATCCCAGTCGATTATGTGGTGTTCGCGACAGGAAGTGTTGGTGGCGCGCTGGGGTTGCAATGTTGCGGACATGTTTCTGTCTCTTCGTGTCAGCTACTTGAACATGGCGCACGTGAGACTCGCGAAAGAAGTGGAATCAATCCTGGAAACATAAGAAGACGAGGGTAATAGGACCGTAGCTTACCTTGCTTGTTTCGATGGGTTGAGTGGCTCGTCCGGAGAAATCGGCTGAGAAAGCAGGCGGCCGTGTGATCCAACAAGACGAGGGATGGTGGAAGAAAGTGAGAGATGAAGACGCGGCATTATTATATTCTAAGCTAGAAATCTATTCATTGATCACCGTACACCAGTAGGGATTTTATATCCCAAAAAGACGCCAAGAAGTTGTCTCTTTTCTCCTTTTGGGGCGCCGAGGTCTGCCTGGCCGGGTATCTGCCTGGCCCCAGCTGCCCAGCCATGCAATGTCTCTGCCTTCTGGTATCGGGCCGTTCGTTGCTGAAAATAGGCACTGTCTTGGACCTTGCACAATTCGCCCTGTAGACCTCATAGACACATTGCTCGTTCTTGGCGATGACTTGAGATTTCTTTGAGGTGAGACAGGACTGTAATGCGCCAGTTCAACTTCCAATTTTTGTGAGATTCATCATTTCTAGGATGTTACGTATTGGTTACCATCTTCCATCGTATACGACTACGAAAGGCCAAGTCCAGTTGACGTTTTGAGGCGTTTCCACTGTCATGTAGTGGCACAGATTTAGGTCTCACGAAGGATGGAACAGAGGACTGTGGGAAATAGGCAAAGGCATCCCTTGTGTAAGGCGTCCAGTAGAATTCGGTCTAATGGCTGCGTGGCTGCAACTGATTTCGGTGTAGCACGAAAGTGTCTCAGGACGTTCTCGGGCTACGGTGTTTGAATCATTGGCTGGAAGCCACACTCAACTACGTGCATTGAAGTGCATTTGACAATCCCCGTAATTCCATTCCTCGTCTTGGGCCACCGCTTCAAGGCAGTTTCTATCCCGTTCACAACAGAATCTCGTTCTCTGCATTGCGATTCTCTTTCGAAATCCTCGACCAAGATCCAAATAAATCATCTCATTAGCTCTGTCAACTTGTTCATGGTACCTAGACCAGCCTTCGCCGATGACTTCTAGGCTCTGTCAGATTAGCCAATTTTGGCCATTTTATTGGTAGCGCTATCTCGCCTTTACAATGGTCCACCTTACGAAAGACAAAGTGACTCTGGTATTTTCCCGTTCAATCGTCCAAATGTCCTATCTGTCTTACTTGCGGTTGCTCTGGATGATGTGACATCTACGAGCCGATGTCTCCAGCTAGGGCAACAAATGTCTTGGCCACTGTCTTGCCTAATTCCCGAGTCCCGAGCGTCGGGATTTGGCCTAATCTAAGCTCAAAAGAACAACGTGGTTTACACATTTGGTCAAGCTTCATTAGTATCATAAGGTACTTGCCACTGACAAAAATGTGATCGGCAGTGGTGTCTCAACTGGCGCCTACCACCACCCCATGAATATATCAAATGAGCGGAAATATGACTGGCGCATTTAAGATTAACTATGTCGAAAATGGAATTCATTCATTTACCAATTTTCATGATTTCAATTCCATGTGGTATGTAGGCTAGCGTAGTATGATAAGATCAGTCGGCAGTTGTTGATGTCGTCGACCATAGTACACGTCTGCGGCCGAGGTCCATTCACGGTCCGATAGCGGAGACACGGCGAATCGATGTGCACCCGATTCCTCTCGCGGTTGATTCCGGTCAAGGCTGCCGCTCTGACGACCCCGCATCCTTTAAACGCCTGACAATCTCCCTCAGTAATAGATCGGTGTATTCTCCATCTGTCGCTGTTCCTGAGGTGTCAAGTAGAGAATTTTTCAGCAGCAAACCGAGCGATTTGCGGATGCATCTCACAGACTAGGCGCGAGCAAAAAGAGAACCAACTCTCCGCACGAATTTTGAGCTGCGGCATTGCTCTTCTCATCCCGGAACTCGAGTACCCGAAGATCATCACCAATTTATACTCTTTATCATGGCTGATCTTCAGGATTTGGACAGGCACCTAGCCTCACTACAGGCAAGTCCTGCAACACTGGCTGTTCTCAAGGACCTTCATACCCAGGCTCTCAATGAGCCCCCGTACGTCAGCACAGATAGTCAACCTGCTTCAGTGGCGCTGGAAAGATTCGTGGCCCTGGAGCCGGACAAGTGCGCTCTGGTTTACCTCCTCCTGCGCGCTACGGGGGCAAGACATGTCGTCGAGGCCGGGACCTCTTTTGGCGTCAGCACTATCTGGCTTGCCCTCGCCGTAGGACAAAATGCAACAGCACAAGGTGCCAATGGCAAAGTGATCGCTACAGAGAACGAGCCTGTCAAAGCCAGGAAAGCTCGAGAGCACTGGAACAGGGCGGGGCCTGAGGTTGAATCCTGGATCCAACTTAGAGAGGGTGACCTGCGAGAGACGCTGAAGACTGATCTGCCTGAGGAAATTGACTTTTTATTACTTGACAGTAAGTTTGCTTCCCTCCCTGAAAGCTACATGCTGGGCTGCTATATGCCATGTATGGCATGAATCAACCCGCTGAAGACTTGACAAGTCTGGTCGCGGCTTGCGATGCCTACACTCGCTCTTGTGAAACCGCATCTCAAACCCGGCGCCTTGATCGTCATTGACAACATCATCTCTGGTCAAGCTGGTTACAAGGATCTGATTGAGCATCTGGACGATCCTAAGAATGGGTTCAAGACAACCACGGCTCCATATAACGGTGGTTTGCGAGTAGCTGTATACCTGGGTCATTAGATAAGTTCAGACTTGTAAAAGAGGGCAATTGAGGTGATGGGCAAGTGCAACCATATGGTTATACATACGCCAAGATATCAATAGCAAGAGGAGCTCCCCGGAGCTTCTGGGCACATTAGGACAGCCTTCTTTAGACATCTACATCCCAAGTTTCGCGTCTTGTTCAGAGGGCCTGGACCATTCCCTCATGCTTGACAACCCAAGTTCCGTCTTTCGGAAACCCAGGTGCGTGCCCTTCGGAGCCTGCCCATCCCGCTGCCATATATCCGATCGCTAACAGGAACCCCCCGTTTCCAGGGAAATAGGGCGGTGGAGATGGACCTATAGCAACCTCGTTAGCCGATCGTGTTGGGACCCGACGCTCGGTGTAGTCTCGTGGTACGCAAACTAGGTACACTCGTTCAGCATGCTGCATTACTCACTTGGACCAGACCTATGAGCAAAACCTTGATCACCGAACGTCCAGTAACCGAAATTAGTTAGGTGATATATGGCTCGCTCTGGGTTCCCGATACGCGCCGAGTTGATGGCCAATACGTTTCGGCCCCAGCCTCTGATTTGGGCGTCACCCCACACATCCCATACCTTGTCTGCAGTTCTAACACCGACTTCTGCGTTCACCTTGTGCATCTATCGTCAGCTAATGAAGCAAATTGGGAGTCTACCTCGAAACCTCCGTAAGACTTACCAGTGGGGTGTCGGGTACCATGCCTTGCAACATGATGACGCTTCTAGGATCTTTGTTGAGCTGAGGGTTATCCCACCAGGATGCATTTACGCCGCCGCCGATCCAGGGAGCGAACAGGCCATCATACTCAGGAGGGGATGCCATATTCTCTGCCACTCTAGACCACGCTGAGGGGCAATCTTGTTCAAGTCTCTTTTTCCAGTTGCACGCTGCATTGAGAGCCCATTGCCAGTAAGCAAGCTCGTAGGCCAAGTTAGAAATCTCTGTAGGGGACGAATTCTCCGTGACACCCTGAATAGGTGGTCCTAAATCATATTTGCCACTCGCGTTGTTGAACCAAGCGAACGATGCCATGTACTGGGCAGTTGACGTGATGGTACGGTCCCATTGTTGGAGAGTCTCCCTGCTTTGGTTGGCTTTGTAGGCTAGTTCGGCAAGATAGATGGGGTGTGGTTGCTGCCATTGAAGATACGCCCTGGTCTCTCCAGGAGCGATGCCCTTGGTAACAAGCTCCGTCATCTTGGGCCATCTGGTTATCCACTCTGATCAGCAGATGAAGATCTCAAAATTGGATGGACCTGTAAATCTTACCTTGCGCCATCCCATCCCATGCGACGGGCTCTTGCCTCAGCGCTAGGCAGGAGATCCTCATAGACAGCAGGGAATATCCGATCAAAGTATTTTGATCTTCCCCAAGTCGCCCAATGAGCACAATGCCAAACAACCATCTCCATGTGAAACTTGCCCCACCACCCGTTATACACCAGACCACTTTCCTGTGGTGGCTGGCCAGTGGCTGCGCTGTTGACTCTCATCGCATATTGTGAGAGTATGATGCGTCGCTGGAGCTCCGTCGCGTTTGGGTTCGACGACTGGGTGAGATCTACAAACCCCCCTTCTTGCCAGTACCTCTGCCAATCAAGACTGTTCCGCCGGCGAATCGAGGAGGGCAGTGACGGTCTTTGAAGCTTGAGACTATACTGGGCAGTGAAGGACAATCCATTCGCTCTGGTGACATTTTTTGCTGAGGCGGCTGGGAACAGTCCATAGCGATGCGCATTAGTCGTGTTAGAATTCTGTTTCCCGATTCTCCTCAAAGTCAATGGTGTTTCCTTGGGCCACCGCAAGTTCTGGTAGTATGACGTTTCTTGCATTGTGTGATGGATATGAGCTGTGTCATCAGAATCAATTCCGAGTTTAACAATAGAAGTCGTGTGATTGTCCGGGAATTGGTAGCTTCCCATGAACACCTCAAAGTCTGATGTCTTCTCAACCTTGTGGATCGGAGGAAACGGAAAGTCAAATTCAACTCGAAGGGTTCCTTCAAAGATCAATACGGACTCGATGTCGAAAGTAACGGAGTCGGTGTCAAAATCTCCTTGAGTAACCACTTTCACATCCTCACCATCAACCTTGAACGACGAAGTAGTAACACCGTTCCAGAGGTCAAGGACTTGGCGGGGTTCCGTGATCGATGATAGCGTCTCGTTCTTGTAACTCAAGCTGATGCGGCCAAGATTGATGCGGTTGGGGTTAGCACTCAACCATTTCGATATTTCTGGCAGCTTCGGATCTTCAAGGTCGTAGATAACTTCTCTCCCATGCGTAACTACAGGGACGCCCGCATATTCTTCCAGCTTTTCTCTAGTGAAATACAGCGCGATATTAGTCTCCGAAGGACGCGAGTGTGCAATTGACTGAAGGGCCAAGGTCTTACCCGTTTTGTGGCAACGCATCCTTATGCCATCCCCAGCTGGAAAGTGTGTTGAAAGGTACCAACGATTGCGTACCTGTGATGTCAAAATTGAACGCAAAGTCTCCATTTCCAACCTGAAGAGGTGTTGTGGTGTTGTCTATGACTTTAGGCACCTCTGTTCGCACTATATTGAAAGACTCCACGATAGCTTTTCTGTGAAAATATCAGTAATGCCAAACATGAGAATATGACGTCTTTTCCTAGACCAATAACTTTCTTTCCTCATACCTGTCAATGGCTGCAGCTGCTAGGGCCGGCGCTAGCAAAAAGAATTGCACGAACATCTCACAAGGTCATGATGCCAATTACTGGCTAGAACTTCAGTGATGATTGACTAGATAGGCATCACTTTGAATACTTCTGAGAATTCGACGGATAAGCGTGCAGACATATATCCGTGATATCGCGAGGTAGAGACGGGTGACTCGGTTCAAGTCTACCCCGAACGCGGGGTTACGGCCCCTGCTGCCGTTCCCAATTTCCAGAGGTCCCACGACGGATCACTCAAAAGACGAATGGGATTAGTTCCGTCATATGTGCGGTGCAACCCACGCCCTGATGGGGCAAATAAACTTTAATGAGCATGCGAGAGTGCTATTAAATATGAAAAGCGTGAGCTAGAAGATCTAGAGACTGGCCGAAACTGCAATTGTCTTGTCAATGAATAGTCTTACGGTCTCGTTGAATTCCTCCTCTCTTTCCCACAACGGCACATGGCCACAGTCTTTCCAAGCAATGTACTCCGGCCCGTCTCCCAACGCAGCCTTGATTAGCTCAAAATGCGGAAAGGTAATGGTTTCGTCAAAAGTCCCGTGCATCACCAAGATTCGGGTCCTGCCTACTTCGTCCCCTATTCTTGCGAGATCTGCGTCGCTCTTGTGGTGCCATCCAGCGGCAATAGCCTGTAGCACGACGCCTTTTCTCCGAGAAAAGTCGGTATCTTCGCAACGCTCTGCGAGTTCCTCTGCCACAAAGCGGTCAAGGTTGGTGGGAAAGGTTTTTTCTGGGTCCAGGGATCCGGTGTCCGGCGCATTGAGATAACTCCTAGTGAACAGCCTACTGGCCTTGTTCTTGAGCTCTACGTCAACTGCTGTGGGAAGAAACATGGCGACTCGTTGTTTCATATGCTCGAATGTGTGAACGGTTCGAATCAGGCGGGGAGCCGTAGAGATGAGGATCAGCGATTGCAAACGTTGAGGTATCAGAAGGGCAAGTTCTTGCGCAATCATGCCACCTAAGCTGATTCCTGCAATGTTCAAGTCTCGCGGGTAGTAATGAGAATCAGTATCGAGCCAGCCAATGTGCCTCAGCAGTTCGACGAGGTCCTTTGCCATATCCAAGGTGCTGTACCTGCAATTTGGCTTGGCCGACTTGCTCACCCCGCGATTATCGAAGACAAGGGAGCTGTACTCCTCGCCACGCAGATGCCCAAAGTGTCGATTCTGACGCTTCCACAGGTTCCGGCTACCACCGAGGCCCATGATCCAGACAATTTTCTTTGGTCCTCGGCCGTGAACTTCGTACCACATAGGGAATGGCCCACCTGGGCGGGACTCGGCCACTGTCGCGAATCCCGATAGCCTGGGTTTAAGATCCCATTGCGTCGTCTTGTATGCGGGATGGCGAAGAATCTCTTCTGCTGAGAGACTTGTCGCTTTGGTGGACATCTTGTTACTAATCGATGAAGCCTAAATTGCGGGCATAAAAATTTGGCGATTGTTGGCTTCAATGTTATGTCAAGCAGTCAAATATGACGGTCTGCTAAGTCTTGGGATAGATTTGGCTCACTGGGGATCCTGCATTATCTGGACTGTTCATGTCCAACGTGAGCGGTAGATTATCATCGGCATGGTCGGTAATGCTCAGTTACTGAAGGTTCGCGGTCGCTCGGATCTGTGTTTCACAAGAACCGAGGCCGATGCTACCATGAGTGGCGCACAAGCGCCGATGCTCCAGGCCTTCGGACGATCAAAAGAACAACTGGGAGCTTCCAATACTGATGCTCTAGGTTTCAATCGGCACGCTGAGAGCTGCCATGTTCAATCACGAAGGTTGTTCAATTATGGACAAAGTCCAGAAACAACGGTAGACATAAGGCTTGAAGATTGAAGGCGCCCCGACGCAGTATGCCTTATTGGCGGAGGCTTCATGTTGGGATGGCGCAGCTATGAGCTTCAATACCATCCTTTGGCATTCCCAGTGCGACATTCAATCAAGTCTTTGGGATCGGACGGTCCTTTATGCTCTCCGCTCACCTCTGTCCCTGACAATCTTGATATTTGCCAGATATTGTCAAGTTCTCTCAATCGAAAGTCTCATATCCTAATTGAAACTACCAGAGCACGATAGACTGACATGCACTCATTGGGTTATTCGTTGAAGCCCCATTCACGGCGCGTCTCGTGTCAGCGTCCTTACGCTTGACCTGGCCAGAACATTGACGCCTGTTATTGAGCGCGCTGCCCCTACTCACTTCCAACTGTAGGAGCCCGCGTCGGCCTCGCTGGGAGCCCGGGACCGCCACAATCATACCACAATCATACAGTGACTCGAGGGCCTGCAGATTCACGTCGCGGCTAATAGACGCTTCGTCTTTTGTTGTCCTCCGCAAGGTGAGTCGCCATCTCTCAAGACCGAGCACGTGTCTCACAGGTCCAGCTGTTCATTCAGTCAAAGGATAGCTGCCTCCATTGGCGCCTACAAAGCGACGCGTTTCGCTAAGCGCCCTGTCTGGGGGGACAAAGCAAAGGCAGTTGGGGTTGACTCGCAACGACTCAGACAGCCAAGCCCTGTCGGCTCCAGTGTTGGACAGCCTACCAGATGCGCGCCAGGGTTTGGAGAATGAATGATTGGATGTGACTGTTCAGCGCTGCAACAGTAATAGCGCCAAAGCTCAAAGGACTGGTGTTACTATTTGCGTTGAACAACATTGTGAGGTTGGACTCATTGGATGTTGTTTCCGCTCAAGAGCAATGGCCTTTGTCCATTTTCATCTTATAAAGATGGTTTTCCTGGTGTCCTCGATGCTGTCTTGAATCATCTTTACTACGACATTTCATTCTTCTCTCCACTACTTGGCGCCTGTGTTTCCTCGGAATTTTTTAAGTACTTTGCACTGCCGGTCGGTCTCGCCTTTTTTGCATTATTTTCTCGTTACAGCATCGTTCGATAGGCTTCCCGTGGCCATCTTCCAACTTTGCGTCTTCCTCTCCATTTTTGTGTGCTTTTCGCGATCGCATACTTCCAAACCATTTCCGACATACACGTTCTTTCACCTCACAACGACAATGGGAAAGTTCGGAAACGCTATTAAGGCCGGCCAGAGTGCCGTTGAGCTCGGCCGCAACGTGCAGGGCCTCGCCGGCGCCGCCTCCGAGTTCCGTAACGCGGATAAGGCAGAAATGGGTCGCCAAGCCGGACGCGGTGTCTTCAACGAGGGCGCTGCAACGGGCAAGACCATGGGGAAATCATGGCTCAAGACATTCGAAGTCGTACCCCGCCTAGTCTGCCGCGGTCTCCAATTTCTCTTCGCTCTCATCGCCTGCGGCTTCTACGGCAACCGTGTCGACGCTGACCGCAAGGCAAACGATGGCTTCTCGCCGGAATGGATCTTTGCCATTACCGTGGCAGGAGCTTCAGCTGTCACGGCTGTTCTCTTCGTCGCTGCCACACCGCTCGGCGCTATTCCCTATGTTGGCAGCAGAATCAAGATCTTCAAGACCTACCGTGCTTTCGCTTGGGACTTTGTCCTTTTCGTTTCTTGGATCGTGGTGTTTGGCATTTTTGCAGCAATTTTCCTTCACAGGGAGAGCGACAACTCATACAAAGGCAGCAAGACGAGCTTGATGAAGGTTGCAGTCTGGATCGACTTGGTCAATGCAATCTTTTGGTTCGTTTCTGGTGTTTACGGCTGCATCAAGACATTTTTAGGAGACAAGACGGACGCAATGACCGACAAAATTGGTCAGAAGTTATTTGAGAAGAAGAAAGCTAAGGAAGTGCCTGCCAAGGAGGCGGGCTACGCCGAGAGCGTATAATGCGCCAGCTACATACCACATAATTGTTTAACAACAATTCGATCCTTCAATCACCGCACTAGATTTAGCTGTAGAAAGAGACTTGATAAGATATCACTCAACGTACACAAGAGCGACACTCAACCAGTCCTGTACAGGGCCATTCGCTGACTCGTTGCGTTCTCCTCATTCCCAGCTCTCGTACTAGATGTCCTAATCGACTACTGCTAACAAGAAGCCGTCCAAAACCGTGTGACCCTCATGGACCGTATGCGCGGTTGATATCATGGGAACAACCGTCGCCGTGACTCTCTTATCCTTTCCGACGTGGGTCAACAAAGACTCTTTCCCCTCCTTCGCCTTATCTTGACCCAAGATGTTCCACACGACATTATCGACGTAGATGCATCCCTTCGGTCTGGTCAATTTCACTGCCCAGTCAAAGTACTTCTCCTGCTCGCCCCATGATGCATCGCAAAACACCATGTCAAATTTGCGGCCATCTGCGGCCAGCTTGGGTAGGACGTCCAGAGCGGATCCGAGTATGATCTCGACGTCGAGCCCCGAGACATTATCAAGGGCTACATCGCGATGCTTTGGGTTGATCTCAATGCTAGTGACTTTCGCTCCCGCTTCGGCGAGCCAGATGGTCGAATACCCGCCGAGGGTACCAATCTCGAGAACTTCCTTGGCGCCTATGAGCTTACACTGAATGGCGAGAAATTGGCCTTGGAGCGGGGCAACAGTGATCTCTGGTAAGTTGTGCCTCTGAGAGTTCGCGATCGCGCTGTCCAATTTCCCGTTTGGTGGGAGAAGATTCGTTCGAGCGACGCTTTCGATGGCATCCGCAGCCGCGACGGTGTTTTGCTCCTCATTGGACATCTTGGTGGTGTTTCAGGTGATGGTTTTCAGTTATGACTGTTTGTTGTGTCTCCAAAATGACTCCCCATCACCGTCGCTGGCGGGACCGGACTTAAATACTTGCCCACGTTGGTACGCTTGACCTACCTTTACTAGCAGATGGGGCAGACGAAGCACTTCACCAAAGGTACGTCAAGTATTGTAGTTGAAGCTCGGAAACCGAGCAGGATTGCTTCGGCGAATTGCATTGCTTGGGAACTTTTGCTCTTACATCACAAGCTATCGAGTTTGGAGTACATACCTACAACACAGCTTCCAACGGGTTCGGTCCGATCGGCCGCCGAGATCTATACGAATTTACGAAGAACCCCCTCTCGCGTTCAACGATGCATGCGAAACCGCCGAGATATGCCACCGACTTGCGAAGAATCAGGAATTTTATTACAGATCGCGATAAGACATTTCGTGCATTTGATGCAAGGAATTATCTAGTATCACACAGCGGCCCGGACCAAGTATAAAAGCCGGTTCCGGTCCGCCCACCGTGGGGCCGCAGAAGTAACTCAGGCCGAAACGCGACGAGCGGGGCCGAGACGGTGTGGGGGAGGAGTTTTGTTAGGCAAGCCAAGGTTTCCTGAAGATGCAACACCGCATCGCACACAAGTGTGGTGATAACTTTCTGAAGCGATGAAACAAGGAACTAGTTCATGCTCAAATACCTCAATGTAAGACGGTATTTGAAATATTACCTCGCTCTCGGTGAGTCTGTCCAACTCAGCACGAGCTGAAGACTGGTGACAACATGCACGTGCCCGGCCCGGCTCATGCCTCCATGTCGTTACCTCCTACCGTCTTTACACAGTACTTTCGCACACGAAATAGATGGGAAACAAAATCTATACAATTTCTTCGATGTCTCAGAGAGTTAGCTAGATTGCAACTGAAAAAGTCTGAGTAGAAGAAGGGTCTATTAGCTTCAAGGTATACCACCAAACACAGGTCGAGCTGTCACGCAACTACGCCAGAGTATCAATTGAAAGGGAGAAGAGAAAAGACAGAATCGTTTTGCCCAGAGGCCAAATTGGGTACGATACTGGAATTTTTTTTCCCGGAGCAGGGTCAGCAATATTGTCACATGGTACGATAAAGTTTTCTCAAGGTTCAACATCAAAGGTCTTCCATCCTACGGGGGGTGTCCAATGAGGTATTTCAAAAGGTGGGCAAGATCGATTCTGCGATAGAATCGTGTAAACATCTTGTCCTAGAAGCCTCCAGTAACACATGTAGTGCCGAGACCTAGTAGAATCCGTGTTGATGATCGCGAGTGCGACATCTTCGATCCTTTGGGGTTATGTGAAACAGCCTTCAGCTAGCAACAAACAGACTATGCCTTAATGTCAACACGGGGATAATTTCGCAAAAAATGGCGAGAGATCTTAGATATAGCGATGAGGCTAGCGGGCCGCATTTGGTGCCCGCGGATTGCGTCCGGCGCTAGAAGTCATAAGGTCCACTTCGTATGAGAATAAGGGGGTCACTCAATGCATCTATCTCCACCAGAAACCTCATCGCGAACCAGGCACAAAATTCGTGCAGTGCCACCAATCACCTCGCTGGATTTGGTCAACACTACTCCTCTCAGCTTCTCAAAGCCCTGAGCGTGGTTGTGCGACCTATTCTTAGCCACTGTTTAACTCCATCGTTTTGCATTACTAGAGGATTGCCGCAGTACATATAGACGCTACCCTGCCCTCGAATTCCGCACTATTCAACCTTAACCCTTTTCTTACCCATCCTTTCCTCTATTCTACCCTCTCCCTTAAGGGATTACTAAAATTATAGTTTTAATAGCTTATTAATAAGCTAATATTATTATTTAAAAATAAGTAACTTACTCTTATATATAAGTACTAAGAGTCTTATTATTATAAAAATAGTAGTAAATATACTAAAGTACTTAAAAAAGCTTTTTAATAAATTTTTAATACTATTTAAAACGATTATCCTTAAGTTATAAGAAAAAGCCGAGGTACTATATTAATATAGCCCTATTCGTTTTATTAGTATTAATAATAGTTTTTTTAATATAAAATATATTACTAATACTTTATAGTTACGTTACTATATTTTATAAATCGTACTTAACGTTAATAAGGATTTTAGTATTATTTTTTAGTTCGTTTCTTAGTTTCTTTATTAAAGCCGTTATTGTAGGGTTAGTTTAGTTATTAATATTTTAATAAGCATTTTAACTTAACTTAGAGGCTCTTATAGCCCTTAAAGAGAGGCTTTTAAAAGACTTATAATTAAACTTTTTATTTATTATAAATAAAGTTATTATAATTAAAGCTATAGCGTTACGAACCTTAATAATAAGTAGTTAGTAATATAGTTATCTTTTTTTTATAATAAGCTTAAAAAAGTATTTTAATTTAAGTACTAGGTAAGTACTATACTATTTTATTAAAACTATATTTTTATACTTATGACTTAGAAAGAATTAACTTTCTTCGATAACAAGGTACTTAGACCTATTCTTAGCTTTGTTCTATTTGGGCCGATGATTTACTTGGGCGATGTCACTGGCCGAAGGGAAATTTGCGCCAGAAGTTATGGGTATGGCCTGGGCCAATTGACAGCCAAACTCGCTAACAATTCGCTCGAGTTCGACGGACGTTTTGAATCCATTAAATTAACAGTGGATTACCACATGTAGGTACGGGTCCTGTATTGCCTCTCGTTGCCTCTCATTCACTCATCAACAATTACTGTGCCGGTCGCGTTGCCTAGACCACATTGTCCCCGCGCTTCGTCTCAACCTCCATTCCAAACTCTTTCTGCACTCTGATCGCCCCGAACCCACTCTTTGTCACGATCCTTTTTTGGCTGTGATCGTCTGGCAAGCTGTCGCTGCTGATATCGCCCAGATCTCTGCCGTAAACCCTTGTCTCAACCCCAGATCGACTAGCTTGGCTGATGTTCTTTCTCGTGGGGTCCCTCTCCCCAAGCTCGAGATAACTGTTCTTGACAGCGGCTGAGGCGGCTGGGTCTTTAGATGACTTGTTTTTCGAGCCGGTGAAGGACGTGAGGCGGGCGAGGGCGCGTTCGAGTAAGGGTCGACATGCGGGGAGGTTGGCGACAAGCATTCCGATGCCAACTTCTGCCTGTGCCCAAGCGAGGATAATGCTGAGGCCTTGCAGGAACTTTTCGGCATCGTTGAGTAGGAGGAGGTAGTTGAGTCGAACAATCGGAGCCACGGATGCACTAGGAATGTTTAGCAAGGGCAAGACGTTTAAGCGCCGAGCAAAACTTACAAGAAACCCAAGCCCAGAAGACCGATAACAGACGCCTTGACCTTGTTCGCCATCTGCAGTCTCCAGATGAGAGCAAAAGGCATGATTGCGAATATCCAGTCAGTTGAGATCGATACTGCGGCAACCAAGAAGGACAGGGCGGTCTGAATTTCTCGAGGTCTACATTCGCCTGGCATGCTTTGATGCCAGTTTTTCCTAGTACGTCTTGTCAGCACGTGCAGAACGACACCTAGACAGGCTAGAGACTCACTCAACCGGCGAGCATTGGAAGAACAAATACATGCCAGTACCTCCTGTGCAGACTGTGACTAGTGCGAGGCAGGTGTAGATGACGATTTGGACCCAACGTTGACCATTACCGATGCGTAGCAGAGTGAAACCAAGGGACCACTTGAGAGTAACCAAGGTAAAACACCAGAACTCCTGGAAAACATAAAACCACTATAGATCCGTCAGTTGACTACATACATTGGATGGTGTCACCCTTCAGGTGGAGCATAACTTACGAAGTATGAGTTGGCAACTTGTTCTGCAGAAAGGGTGCTATCCAGTTGCCCAACTCCGCTCCAGGCCATACCTAATAAACCGATTTGCGACACTGCCCAAACCGGCTTCGATATGTTAGTCTAAAACGACTCAAAATCACTCCGCATTGCGCGCATAATCAGAACGTACAATAGTAGCAACCATGGCCCAGTCATCCGGTCCCCATGCTTTCCTCTGCGCCCGAATCCAAAACCGCAAGACCATGGTGATGATGTCGAAAGGCAGTGGCACCAGGACTGCAGCGGCCATATCCTTCGACGTAGCCGCGCCCATCTTGTCGAAGTTGCGGGTTCGTGATCACTGAAGAACCTGCTTCGTGCTCCACGGGTTCGTTTCGAGGTGAGAGAAAGAGTGCCACAAATCGAACAGCGAAAAGAACAGTAAAGACTCGAACGACCCAGAAAACTTATAAGAGAATGCAAAGAACATAGGAAAAGCAAGCACGGATCTGAGAATTACTTAATAGCGGCCCAACTTCTTCTGGCAACCAAAGCTCGCATAGGATCCACCGACCCCAGCCCCGGGATCACTGCCGTTGCGGCACTGTGGTCCTCCTTGCCACAAAGGGGCGCTGGGATGAGCATGGTAAGTGAATTCAACCCCCTTGCGAAGCTCAGACTGTCCAATTTCGAAATGATTCCGTCGGCAAAATGCTCGTGTTTCCTGTCCACTAATCAGGAACGATGATGTGCTTGTCAGTTGCCTCGCCCTGACAATAGATGTAGGAACACAACAGAGGCGGAGTTGGTTCCGAGATGGTTATTGGACTCTACTTGTGAATTCCCTCAATTGTACCATGGGTTCAGCAGAATGTCTTCCCATCGAGAATGATGGAGAGGTTATGTTCGGTCTCTTTGTCGTTCTTCCTCCTGAAGTTTGCCCAGTACGCAAAGTTTAGGCGTGTCTTCCCAGCTTCCTAGCTTTCAAGGATTCTTTATGTGACATGTGATCACTGCTATCGTTTGAAGCTATCAACGCTCGCCCAAAGTCAAAAACGTGGATAGTATTGGCCGGCATTCTATCCAGCGTTACAGTCGATGCTTCGCGAGATCGGTGGTTTCCAACAACAACGAATATACACCATCCATGCATCGTCGCACTCATGCCACTGTCCCGAAACGTATGGCCCCCATCTTAAAGTAGATCGATGCCAAATTCGGCAGATCCCTTCCGAGCATCGGGGAGTTCTTCAAGAGTTTCCGGCGGTGTCAAGCTGCGAAGAATCTTGGCCTGACCCATAATAGTGGATTATTTTCTTCAACACGCTATGCATACTCGTGGAGACAGGAATCTCAGGAGTGTCCATAGTTTCCATAAATGCCCCTCTACAGTGCGCATATGATGGCCAGCATCAATGCAAAACCTGGTCGGCTAGGTGAAGAAATGCTAGATTGGCAAGCCATCATGAAAGCGATGAGCGCTACATTGGTCGTTTTGGATGTTGAAGCAGAAGACTGTCTCCTGGTTACACAGGATCAAGTAATATCAATGATTAAACCAACATACTTTGGGAATTGAGGGAATTTTTAACTGGCCCTGGACTTTCCCCCAAGGTGTTCATACTTCCGAGTTTCACGACTGGTTTATGCATATTGAGATCGGCAGAAGCCTTTGGTAGTTGACGTGTCTGCGTGGAGAGCCAAGATTCATGATCCTGCTCAGCCCCTAGTCGAGACTCCTCTTCGGATCCCACCCACCATGCGGCCCGGCGGCACTGACCAGTTGGCTAGTTCACGAAGTGGACATGCAAGCATCGGGATGAAGCAGCAGCAACAGGACACAATATATAAAGCACACAATTATCACGTGGAGAGAGGCATAATATTCTCCCCGCCTCCACGTCACATTGTTTATTCTGCTCTTCTGACATCTGAGAAAAATGGCTCCTTTCAGGGTTTTCGAGGGCAAGCTTGCCATTGTCACTGGTGCATCGCGAAGTACGTGGTTTTTTAAACTTTCCGGGTCTCTTCAAATAGGATCCTTTTCCATAGCAAGGATTCAACATTTGGCTTGAAATCACAGTGGACTGACTATTTATCAAGGCTTTGGCGCCGTTCTTGCTGAGCACTTTGCCAGCAGAGGTGCCAACGTTGTCATCAACTATGCCACCGAGGGCTCAACGTCAAAGGCTGAGGCCTTGGCCAAGGACTTTGAATCCAAGTACAACGTCAAGGCTCTTCCCGTCCGGGCTGACTTGAGCAAGCCCGAGGCGCCTCAGCAGCTTGTTGACGCCGCCAAGGCTCACTTCATCGATGCCAACGGCCGTTTCCAGATCGACATCATTGTCAATAACGCTGCCACGGTAAACGCTCAAGGCATTGACCAGCTGGACCTCGATCTTTTCGATGAAACATTCAATTTGAACTGCAAGGCACCCGCCCTCCTCGTCAAGGCCGCTTTCCCTTACTTGCCTACCGACCGCTCTGGTCGTATCGTCAATATCTCCAGTGCAACCACCACATGGGGTGTCTGGTGGCAAACATCATACGCTGGCACCAAGGGCGCTATCGAGGCCATGACCCGTGTCTGGGCACGTGAGTTGGCCGAAAGAGCGACCGTCAACGCCGTTGCTCCTGGACCTATGGACACTGGACTGTACTCTGGCCTGCCTGACGAGCCCCGCGAGGCTCTTCGCCCGTTAAACAACCTGACGCCTCTTGCCAAGGCTAGACCTGGTGTTGATAGCCAGGAGGTTCTCGACTTGGCGGCAAGCATTGGAGGTCGCCCCGGTTACTTGGAGGAAGTTGCTGGAGTTGTAGGAGTCGTTTGTTTGCCCGAGAGTGGGTGGATGACTGGTAACCTTGTGGGGGCCAGCGGAGGAGGTGCTTTTGTTCGTTAAGCGATGCCAATTACCTTGCATGTCGGATAAGCATTACTGGTGTTTGGAGCGATGATGTTCTCGTTTTAGCTCAGGCAGGTGAATGGATGAAGATCAACAATTACATGGGCGCAGATGGAGCGGCAGATCCCTCATATAAAAGCGCGCCAACGAACGAGGGAATAACGTTGGCAATGCGACAGTGCGTGAAGTTGCAATGGAGACAATTGTCGGAGAAACTGTCGTTTTCGGATCAGGTGCAAGCTATGCTTGTTCAATCAAGGGCATGGTATTGGTTTGTTGGATCGCCGACTTAGACGGATGGATTCCGTCCTTTCGTTTGGTTCCCTCACACATCGCTTAGATAGCAGCGCAGGGTTATCGAAACTCATTTCAGGCACCTGCTAAGATCTCAGGGGGTGCACTAGTAACTACCAACGATGCTACGGTCTCGGCGCCACCCGTCATGTTTAAGTTGACAGGGGATCATCAGGCGAGTCCGTGAACCCTACAGGAGCCCCATTGGAGGATTTGGCCCCCAGTCTGATAATCATCTTGCATGTCCGTATGAAGCAGCAGAAGTACGGATATCTCCTCGAAGCTTTGCAATCAATAGGGGGTCGGAACATTTTTCTTTGGTATAGAGAAGGCATAGCTGTCGCAACTTGATCGCTAACAAGGCGGACAAATGTGCTTCAGCAAAGCACTGCTTCTCACGACGACCTCGTGGACCCTGGTTGCGTGTATGTACATGCCCCCCTGGCTTTTAAATATGTCCCAAGTTGTGTCCAGGCAGCTGTGGTAGCCCTTGTTTCTGCTCAAAAGGCCTGCAACAGACAAAAGGATTTTTGGAAAGGCAATGATTTTCTTGACATGATGAATTAACAAATATGCTTATGGTGTGACTCGATGACATAGAGTTGATGTTATTACCGCCAGGCAACTTACTTACTCTCTAGCACGGGAGCCCGAGGTTTGATGGTCCCTTTTAAGGACTTGGCTCTCGTGAAGGGAATGGAAACGAAGGCAACCAAAGCTGGCAGCGAGTCTTGATCATTCGGTGGCCTCTTTCTTTCTGGGAGTTCAATGTCAACGCAACATGTTTCCGAATAGAACTCCCCATGGTCCACTGCTTGATCTACGCATCATTACGTGCTAGAGTCATGAGTATATCTTTGGGGCTAGGCGTGAAATGGCAAAGTTTGTTATAATTTGACGTTCATAGTCACCGTTGCGAATTTGTTTTCGCGACAAAATGCTTCCAGAGTAAGCTAGAGCTCGGGAGTAGTACGGGCAGAGCATAAGGTCTGTGAAGTAACTCTCAGCTGAGCAGTATTATGGGTTGCGTTGTCATTCCCCGCCCATACCCATGAAGCTCAGTTACACTACACTCGGAGAGTCACATTCCCAGATGCAAGGGGTATTTCAACCATCAATCAGTCTTGATTATTTGCGAAGTCATGATCGAGATCATGAGGTTGATCTAACATGAATCTGAGAGGTCAAAAGAAGGGCTTTTTGGTACTTAGTAGTCTCCCAATCAACACGTTCTTCGCCGATACTTATCTCACCATTGTGATAACTCACATTTTCCAATAGTTTGAATGCAATTGAGCCTCATTCGTGACCCGATTTCAACTGTTTTCACAGTGCGTGGGCAGAGAATGAGTATTATGCATGCCACGATTGCAAAGAACCTCTGAATCCTACCGACGCCGAAGGCTCGGAGGCCTCCGCCCAAAAGTTGAGATTCATTGCATCATGGCCAAATTCCTCGACGCGTATGGATTGCCGAGGGGAGTATCTAGCGTTTGGTCAAATTCAGAAAGGTCTTGTCAAACATGAATTACAGCAGGGTGTTCACCTTTAGTACAAGGCTTATGAGACGTCTGGCTAGTTGCAAGGTCGATGCCGCGATGGGGTTCTAGTGTTGATGATGTCACATTGAAATAGAATATAGACTATTTCTGTCGTTTTTATCATACACGGTGCTCAATTAAATGTTTTACCTACCTATCTCACGCGATGATTTGAAAGTACTCATACTGGGCTGCACAACGATTATATTAACGCAACGAGAGATTCCAAGGCAGTCAAGTGACCGCGACAACTTGATGCAACAGTTATATCACTCTTAAACCCAAATGAAGGCTCAAATTTATTTGAACGCTACGAGTGAAATGAAGCGCTGAGTTTGCCCTTGCACAGCGACGCCAGTGTCTGTTCCAATTCTCTGAAGCGAAAGAGTGGACTGCCAAACATCTGTGCCCAAATGCTTATCAACAGGAATTCGGAAGATCAATAGCACAAGCACATGGTAGATATATTGCATTGTATGGATGATTTCTTGAGGCAGTCAGTTTCGGTTTTGAATCATATGTTGTGTCCTTGAGGTTTGCTACGTTCACATAAGTAATAGCCTCTCTTATAGAGCACGTTTGGACTCAGAAAATGA